ACCCTTTCGACCGCGCAAAGTTCGTTACGCGGGATTATAAACTAATTACGCTCTCACAGGCTGTGCTCGCGCTGTGCCGGCCGAACACCAACGTACTCCCCCCGCGGCGTGTCCTTAATGAAAGGTCTCGCCTAAGCGTTCACTTTCTCCAACCGTGTATCAAGTGTGTGCCAGTTGTTACCTACATAACTCGCCGTTATCCGCGTAACGTGTGCGTATCGGCGCAGTGACAGAAAGCGCGCGTCAGATCGTGCCATGTGCCTGATTTCGACAAATGAGACTCTCCGAGTCACGAATCTCCCATGGATTAATCTCGAAGAGTACGCGTAACAGCTGTAAAACAATGCTGTCGTATCAATAGAATCGGCCTAACAGCGCCACATAATTATCTATCATCTATTATTATCTATAATTCGTGTAAACTACAATTTTCTCCTAAACGAAGATTATTATTACTGTCATTATTATTGTTGCGTTATTGTTATCGGAGCGAAACTTTCGGAACCGATGGCGATATCGTGGAAACTAATACTCGAGTTATTGAGGCAACGAATTAGTTTCGATAATACCGCTGTTAAATCGAGGAGATTCGTTTCAATTAATCGGCGCTGTTAATCAATTTTAGTGAAACAACAGCGTATCGCCCGTGAATAAAGGAAAAACGACATGGCAAATCGATTCGGAGTTCGACGTTTACAGGCGACTAACTATGCTTAAAAATTCATTCAAAGGGGGAAAACCTCGTCGAGTCTTACAATCTCGTCTACCGCGGCATTTTATCGAAGCGATTGGAATTTTATATCGTTACTCGTGAGACGCGATTTTCAGAATAGTCGAAGAGAACCGAAGAGCTCTCGCCGATGAAACCTCGTGAAATTCTTACAGACCAACCGAGAGAACTTCCCGGTTCTCTCTCTCTCTCTCTCTCTCTCTCTCTCTCTCTACTTGTTCCATGCAGCGAATCATCTTAATGGATGCTCACGAGAGAATCGCCTGCGATGTTCCGACGGGATTCCAGCGCGCCTCCTTAACGATGGTATTAAAATTCTACGCGCTGAATATTTCAAGAATACCGAGCCGACGTGTTTCTAGGAGAGCAACTTTCGGACATACGCTCGCCCGTCTGGCTCATTCTTAAACCAAGTTGGCTGAAAGTTCACGTGTTTACTAATATTTAAAACAGCAGTGTGATAACGCAACGTGAGGGAGAAAGAGAGATAAAAATTGGAGGAACATCGTTCGACCAATCGATTCGTTAGCGCTTTCGTTGGCATTATATCGCGGGCTTCTCGATTCTATTTGAATATATACATGATTTAAAAAGAGGTCTCGCGCCAAAGAGTCAAGGATAATACGATATATTCTTATCAAATTGCGAGTTGTTTTCTCATAAGCAGATTTTCGATACTGCGCGCGTATTCCCAATCGCGAAGTTGTTATTGTTATTGGAGACAAAATGAAATCAATAACATCCGGTCCTCCGGATGAATGCAGACAACCTGAAGATAGAGTTCTAGATGTAAATAGAGAAGCGCAATGGAGAAAGTTAATATTGATTGATTATCTGAATTACATGACTTAGGCGCTATTTTCTTTGCTCACCACGACTGAAAGCATACGACGCACTGGTAAGTTGTAATATTTCGGTTATACACTTTTAATATATCTGTTAGAAAATGTTACTATATTAAACAAATATTACAGAACTTCTTTGCTGTAGTGGAACGATATTTAACGTATAACGAAATATATTTCTTTTATTGAAGACAAAATATCAAAACACCGAAATTGGAGAAGCAACTCGAAAAGTTACAATCCCGAGAATTGAATATTGGGACAATTTTCCAAAATATTGAAAACATGAAGTTGTTCCGCAAATTTATAACGATATATAATCACACACGCGCACACAGGAAAACTTGACAAGAAAACATCGCGTTATAATTTTCGCGAGACAACTTATATACAGTATTAAGGTTTCAGAATAATGATTTTGCAGGACGTTTTTAATTTCGGCACTTCTTTTTCCGGGATTACGCGTACCTACTGAACGGCTAAAAGATCACCAAGAGAAAGAAGGCGTGCTCGAGGAGCTTGTCGCAAGCTTTAAACTTCATTTACGCGGGATTACAACACCGTGCTTCACGCGTTAGATTTCCAAGCCAGATTGGCTTGGCGGCCGATCTGGAACGGATCTGCTGGAGCAAAAACTCGAACTGGGCGAGCGACGTCTCTTATCGCGCAGGAGTCTCCGTCCTGCAAAGGCGTCTCTGGCGTGCGAAGTTGCGCCTCGTGCAGATCTGAAGAGAAAGAGAGAGAAAGAGAGAAAGAGAGCACCTTAGCACGTCTGGTCGCGTCAGATGCGTCCCCGGAGGTTCCGTTCAGCGCGAGAAGGAACAATCCCGGCACTGATCACGATTCCCCGAGCGGAGCCGCCCGCCGTTTGAAGTGCGGCCGGGGAGCCGCGAGGGCGGAAATTTGCAGATATCTCGTTTCTCTTTCTCTTTTTCTCGCGTGTGGGCAGACACATGTCGCACTGTTCGACGGCCGTCCAGCGCGGCCGCATGAGCACGTGATTTATGCACGCGAGTGAAGTCACGCGTGACCGCGGACGAAAAAAGAAATCGGAGCTGACGCCGTGCGAAAAGGGTACCGAAATAAACGCGAGGATCGGCTAGACCGCCGGCTAGACTTCGAAAGCCGCTCGCGTGCGCGAACTCGACGTTTTCGCGGAATGTAACTTGAAAGGCGAAAATTGTCGATCGTGGCAGACGGTCGTATTCGATCGGTTGATTGCAAGGGAGACTCCAGACGACGCTTCTTTTCGAGATTTTCACTTCGTCTGATATATTTTTGGGATTAATGGGTGATGTAAGGAAGAGGAAAAGAGAGAGAGAAAGAAAAGAGATCGACTTTCGGCTCTTTATAGATCGGGTGACTACGTCAATTCGCTGGGAGTATTTGAAGATAAAAATGATTAGTCGCGACAGGAAACCGCGGACACGATCGGTGAATGTAGAGTCAATTCTTTGCAAAGTTTCGACGATGCTTCTTTCTGAGAATTTCATTTCTTCGCATTCATTTTGTAAATTAATCAGTTATACGAGGAAAGGAAAAGTCGACTTTCGGTTTATAAATCGGGCAACTACATTAATTTGCCGATAAAGCGTTCAAAGATCAAAGTTACTGGCCCTGACAGATTGGGACATAAACAATTAGTTGAATCATCTTCTAGAAATGTCAACGACTCTTTTCGTCGATTTCATTTCTTCCGATTGATTTTGTGAATTAATTGACCGACACGAGGGGAGAAAGAAAGAAAAAGGGAAGTCGACTTTCGGCCCTTGGTAGATCGGCCGACTACGTTAATTCGCCGGAAGGGCATTTAACCGGAAGTGGGCATGAATCTGCGCCGGTCTGTCGGCAGGATGGAATTCGATTGAAACGAAGGACAAGCGCGCAATTGCGAGCATGGTTGTGCCTTATGTCATGGTCATGCGATTAGATTACCGACGCGCCTCGTGTCTACCGACATATACGCGTGCGTATTTGTGTGAGCACGGCAATTAAAACTGCTAATTTATGGACTACGAGCTAAGCTCCATACGAGGCACAAGCGACCTGCGACCTCGCGAACACCAGTCGTTCGTATCAAGCCGCGACAGCAAGCTGCGACAACGGAAACGCGAACAACGGAAACCGACAATAACAATGACAATAACATTAACAGCCGGCAATGTTATCGACGACGGTGACGACAATCGTCGCTGCGACGATAGTATCTTGGGATTCACGGTGTCGCGGTTAACGCAGTGTCGGCGATGTGAGATGCCCGTCGAGAGCCAGACAAATAGCCGCAAGTTCACGGCCGTAGTTCCAATTTAAATATGGCCCGAAGGATCCGAGGCAAGGCTGAGGAACGTTAAACGGCGAGCCCGGCGCGCGATGCTCGGTCCGGCTGATTCGGCCTTTCTCTTTTTTATTCTTTCGTCGAGACCGCTCGTGAGAAATGACGTTTCATTCGGCTGGCTTTTTTTCCTCGCTCGATGCCTCACACGCGAACGTTCCACCCGTCGTTTCGGATTTCCGTCCGCGAGATGCGCCGGGGAACCCGCTCGGCGACCTAACCCGCGCGCGGAAACGCGATCCCGCTCAGGAGTGTTCTCACGTGCGTCTTATCGTCACTGTATCGCGCTTACGTAGCGAACCGTCCGCGACGCCGACGCGCGTCGGAACGTGATTTATGTTGTGAGCAGGCAAGAGAAAAAGAGAGAGAGAGAGAGGAAGAGGCGCTGTTTTTTCTCGCGCGCTGAAGCGCTTTAACCAAGTGTGCCGGCAGGCGGATTTAAAAGCCGACGACCGCGCAAGCGGACGGACGGATTTAACTTTCGAGCATTTAAGCCTTCCGTGACGTCATGAGAGCGAACGACGTCGCGGTATCGCAGCGACGGTCACGTGAGAGAAATTATGAAAAGCCGAGGACGCGGTGAGATCTTATGACGGATAATCTCTCATCAGCTTCCTTCGCTCGACACAACTTTAGCTTCCGAAGTAACAGAATATAGGCATCACTAGGTCATGTATATTTTTACACACACACACACACACACATATACACGTATATGCGCACGTTATATTATTTAATGTAACTGGATTGTTTTTTTGTAATTATCACGTGTTTTTATCTCTTTTATATTAACGGTACACCGGATATAATTATATCCAGTCACATGAAATATATTTAGTTGCACGAGAATGCGTAGAAAAATCCTCCTCTCGGGGAGGAAAAAGGTCCGATGTTCGAACGCACGTTTCCATCGCGCGGTGAGTGAGCGCGACGACGCTGCTCGGCGCTTTTCCGAACGCTCCCACGAGCTCCTCTTCACGGACGGTAAACACGGTTTAGTTTGAAAGTCGTGCCGCGGCACCTAACCTTTCTCGCGCAACGTGGTGCGCGGTGTGCTCGACACGCTCCGGCCGCGAAACGCAGCCGTTCTCACCTGCATACTGTCGGCCGAGATGATTTCCCCGGCGAAGCGGCACGCCAATTCGATACCCAGCCGCGATTTTCCGGAACCCGTGGCACCCAAGATCACTAAAACTGGCACACGCGACATATCCACTTCGTCCCGATCGACCATCATAGCCGCGCACTGCGCGCAGGCGCGCCGCACCGTCGCTTCGAGATCTCGCATGGCCCGTCGCTCCACCGGGAGGAACGCGGAACGTGAACCGCGCGCTGCATTTCAAATCCTCCGGCTTGCAGAATGTTCCCTATACTTCCTCGCCGCGTGTCTACATCTAAGAACTGAGATGCAACGAAACGAGTAAGGAACCAGGAATTCAGGTAGTTGCCGAATGCCGGATTTTCAGTGGCGATATTAAGAGGTCTCTATATAAGTCTCTATATAAGTCTATTATTTGCCAAACAATACTTTTCTACAACTTTAACTGTCTAAGCAATAAATGTTAATTTTGGGTGAAATTAAGAGAAAAAAAAAAAATATATATATATATACATATGTAATAATATAAAGATGAAAATTTCAGTGGATCATTATTTACATAAAATTTTTCACTGTGCGGTGGTGAATATCTCAGCCGTTCCCGAATGGTCAATCGATTTCTAATTGCGCCAATAATTAAGCCATATTTAAATGTGTGTATAGTGCAAATTCCAACGAATTCTTAAAATACATTATGCTAATTATGTTTAACGTGGTGAGTCGAGAGATGGGGAGTACAATTTCTGAACGTCGGATTCCTGAAAACTTGAGAATGATCGTTTCGCGTCTAAATCCCCAGGGAAAAGTCCGCGCTGATATCGGCGAATCCGTCGGTAAAGCGAAGGAATTTCGCTATTCCCAGACTTCGCACCAGGCTAGGCCGGCACCATGCGTAATAAAGCAACGCCCAAGAGAAGCTCGGTGTTTATCGTTCTATATGCGTACGCGTGATTACGCTTGGGAGCCGCGGCAAAGGGAGAATCGAGCGCGAAATGGCGCAAACAACCGCGGATATACCGCGCGCTTATGCGCCACGCGCGAAAATGTGTGCGTCCCGACACGTGTGCACCGCCGATTGCGACGCGCGTCATTCGCGAGTCGAACGATTGCACCAGCCGAGCCCTGTATATCGCTCGAAGGAAATTGCGATGGTGCCAGTGATGTGTCCCCATCGGACGGCAAGTGTGCAACGAGGTCTTCGGCACATTGCGGCAACGCAATGTAAATAATGTCACCATGTTACCGGCGCGCAATTTCTGCACGTTATCGATGTGACGTTATCGATGAGAGCATGATCGATGACACCACTTGGCGTTCGACGTGACGACGATGAAGTTACATCAACGGCGGAGTGACTTCTTCAGCGAACGACTGACGAGTCTCCAAGCGATACACGGAATGTTGCTTTTTTTATATAAAGATATTTTCATCGATTTTACCTCGTCTTCTTGTTAATATAAGAATAGACTGTCAGTTTGTCTTGCTAAGGGGCTTAACCCCTTGACGTACAAATTAAATGGAACTTAATGCGACCAAAAAATACTATTTAATTTCGCTCAACTGAACAGTTACGTGAAAGCTGAGAAAGAGTACATTTTATTTTGAAATTTGGATTTTTATTAATCAGATTGATGTTAACAAAGAACATCTAAATAACATTAAAAAATAATAATTTAATAGTTCTGTACAGTATGGAATATTTCGAAACATTTTGGAACATGTAAAGGAACTAAACATTTTTTGCACTGCCACGTTGTTTCACTTCTTATGTTGTTTTTTACGCACACGCGGCATCTCTTTGTAGGTAATTTCTCATCGTCACTTTCATATATGCATCCGACTTATATATGTTACAGGGATTATTTATAATCTTTACTAAACTCAAATATTGGCTAGTATAACATTCACTGTGCGAGACTCCTGCTAAACTGAATGTTACTTTGAGTGTGCTCCTTCTTATATGTTTGATGTTTTTTTGTTCTTGGGCCATCTCGAACGTTATAAACAAACGAGAATCGACGCACGAGTGAAGCAACTATGTAATTTAATTGTAAATTGCACGGCGTCCGCCGAAAAAAGCGCTTGACGAGTCAGACTCGTCAAAGTCTACAGTGGCCCATGAAATGAATGACGAGTCAGACTCGTCATTGTATATCAAGGGGTTAATACATTTTTTAATAGTCGACTTCAGTTCTTATAATATAAATAGCGCGTATAAAACGGAAGGCAAAATGCTGATATGTTTATTCCAGAGTTGAGTAAGTTAATTTTTACCTTTAACCAAGTTTTAAGTTAAAAGCTAATGCCTTCCTTATAAAATTGATTTAGTTACGTGAAAAGTTACTAAAATAAAAAGCAATTTGATTAAAAGTTAGGTTAAAATTAAATTAAGGAGCCATTCAATAATGGTGTCAGATCACGAGTGGAGGTCTGTTAGTTTGCGTAACAGTCTGTGATGGAGAATGGGAGTAAAGGTTATGAAACGTCACATTAGATGACATATTTTGTAAATATGGATGACGTGGTTATCCACTCTGTTTGCATTCATGGCACACTTGGTTATATTTGGTGAAAATTTTTACGTTTTGACATGATTCTTTGTTAATAATCAAAATGTTAATTTTTTAATATTTATTCCTTAGAAACAGAATTTTTATTAATAGAAATCATAAAATAAAGTAATTAATTTGGTACTATTTCATATAAATTAGCGTGCAGTCTAAATTTATTATTACAATATAGTTATTACTATAACCTAGTTATAAGCTATTTCTTCTTATTTTATGTGTCGGTGAGAAAGATGGTAATTCCACATCTCACGTAATATTTGAAGGGAGCAAATACTTTGTAACGAAAGATGACGAAGAAGAGGAGGGAGAAGAATTAAAATTAAAAGTTAATTATGCAAAACCATGTGCACATATACTGGATTGCCCTGGAGCCGTGGATTGTTCCTCTATCACAAAATTCTCTGTAATCATTTTTAATTCTCTAAAATGTTCTCCTTTTTATATCTCGACATTCAGATCTTCGTCCTAATTAAAAAGGATCGTAATTTCTCTGCTCATCCTTTCGTAAGTTCTTCATTTATTCTTCTACTAAATTCTTTTTACATTTTCTCCGTTAATTCTCTTTTTGCCATGGATAATTATTTCATGCGTTTAGGAAATTATTTTAGGCGAAAACGCGAATTCACAATTTCGTCTGCTTCATCTCGAATTTCACACGAGCCCGCACCAATTTCGCCCACGACACCAATTTCGATACGAAATGCAATGAATATAATTGCCGCCGTGAAGATGGAACGTTCAAGTATCGAATAGTGTACCCGTATCGTGCGTGACACAGATGTTCTTAATCTGCCGAACGGCTGGGTTAATTAAATACTGACAAATCATGCGCGAAGTGGCTGACGGAAGATGCATGATAGAAGCGATAACATTTCTTTCTTCTCTCTCTTTCTCTCTCTATCTCTCCCTTCCTCTCTCTCTCTCTCTCTCTCTCTCCCTCTCTCTCACTCTCTCTCTTTCTCTTTCTAAATTTCTCTCTACCTCTCTTTCTACCATTTCTTCTTATTGATTCGCAAAGTATGCGCGATCTATTTTAAGAGCGGCATTATTTGTACGTCAGAATTGGTCTCGACGTAATCGAATTATCCTTTCCGTTGCATTTTACGCACACGTGCGTTCATTAAGTCAACTTCCTCCGATCGCGCAAATACGAAGAGCTGCTATCCACATCGTTTATGTAAATCGTCGTCGCATGTCGATCAGCCGTTGTGTTCGTTAAATAAAACGGTACTTTTTAATAAGAATAAACGTCCATTGTACGCGCGTCGGCATATCATTTCTCGCACCGGCCCAATATTCAATCAATATTCCTTGGCACGGAACCAGGAATCCTGCACACACACGAGCGCGCGCGCGCGTCCACACATATATAAAAGTTCGAATTTTACGAGATTTTTTACTCGTCTTCGCCGAACAGCGCCATTTATTGTAATGACAGCCTAGCATATATTCGAACAAAAAAAAATATTCATCACCGGCGACGGATAATTAAAGAGATAAATCGCGAAGAGATAAATCTTTTGTGCGCGTTGCGCAATCACGTTGCCATAACAATAACGATAGAGCCGAATCGTTATGTCGCTTACAAGTTGCACAATTTTTATAGTTGCTTTGGACTTTTATAGCTGTCCCGGATTTTTATCGATTTTTCGAACGACCGATGCAACATTACATCAACTGTGTTACATCAATCTCTAAATTTCTCCGAATAAAGTAAAACTTTACCGGAACGATGCATTAAAAAAAGAAAAATGTTTCATACGAAAGTTGAATGGTTTGAAAGGATTGATATACAAATTTCATCGGTTCACACTCTGACCGGAGGCACTCTACATAAAGACGAGACGATGCGACACCGACGGTAATGCAACGCGCGAACGCACCGCACGATCCACCAGCGTTCTTCGATTTTCCTCGCCGCGCGGAACACAATGTCGACGTAATGCCGACGTAACGCAAAACGTGACGCGAATGTAACGCGCGTAATGCAATGCAACGCGGATGCAAGGGCGGACGAGGCGGACGTTGGCGTTTCGATTTTTGCGGTTTAACGTAATACAACGTAAGCGCGACGCCGACGCACGCGCGCGAATGCAAATCCAAGTTAAGAGCGCGCGATATTGCAACGCGGCGCAACACGGCGCAACACGGCGCAATACGGCGCAACATGGTGCAACACGGTGGGCGCAGCGTGAGTGTAACGCGATGTAATAACGCGTAACGTAACGTTGCGCGACGGAACGTAATAACGCGGCCTGGGAACGGGCCGAGTCGTTTCATCGCTATCCTCTCGTGACTTCGGCAATCGTGATAATCATTCTTTTCTTCCTCGCGCACGCCATTCACGGATTACACGGAATTGCTCGTAGATCGAGGTGTGTCGTTTTCACGTTGATTCATCGTTCTGTTTCACTTTATTTTCATCATTATCCGCGATTTGTAATTTTTCGGCTGAACACGTCCCCCATCGCGCGTAATTCGCGATAATCCGCTCGAAATCCAGCTTCCTAAGCTCGTTTGCCTCTTCCCCATTTCCTGCGGTACGTATTTCTAATCTAAAGAGTCCA